AAACCCCGATACTGACTAAACCCTGTCCTGAGACAGGCTCTGTTATGGACCCATCCTTCCGTTTTGCTTACTGGCCTTGCTCTCTTATGCTGTCTCTTGGCAGCACGGGGAGCCTGGTGGGGAGACGCCTGGCCATCATTGGTGATGACATTAATGAGCGGTATGACGCGGAGTTTCGCTGCATGCTGAAATCCTTGCAGCCCACCAAGGAAAACGCCTATGAGTACTTCACCAGGATAGCCTCCAGGTAAGGCTGCCAGCTGCCTTGGTGCAGGCAGGACACCTTCTCCTATAAGAAGCGAGAAGGAAAAGTGAGACTGTGGGCAATGCACAAAGCAGTGTCCAGGTAGTCTGTTTAAAACCTTGCCACTCCCCAAAGCAGCCACTCTCCAAACTCTGCCCCAGCACTCAGACTCTGCCTGTCAATTCAAGCTTCATCCCCTGCCCTTCGGTCAAGCTTCAAATAAGTTCACCATTACAGTTCTTGTGTTTTCTGCCTGTCTGCTCTTGCTCCTGCTGCTGCACACTGTTTGGACAGTCTTCACATGGAAATCATCTTGGCTGCATAGCAGCAGTCCTTGCACAAGTTGACTGGGGTCAGAAAGTTTGGGGGATATGGCTGGAAAATGTGGCTTTGCACATCAGTAGCCAAGTGAGAGTCCCATTTCTCATTCAGGGATAAAACCAAGCTTGGATGAAGACAGACCTGCTGCTGTTCCCACTGCTACCAGCTAGGAAGTCCTGATGATTCAGACTTTCCAGAGGCACACAGAAAACGTGGCTGTGGGGACATGGGGCAGTACTTGCTATCCTTGACACTATCTGCTAAGAACAGGATCAGACTAACTCAGGATGCAGTCTCACACAGACCTGCAGAGTCTGCAGCTGTCTAGCGTAGGCGATGCCTGCCCAGATTTCTCACCTGAAGCACAGCAACAGGCTGAAGACAAAGAGAGAAGTTTTGCCCTGCTCGTTTGAGGCATAGGCTTGGATCTGTGTCCTGAGCAGGTTCACACTGGTTCCATCAAGGAAGGTCAAACTATGCTCCAAGGGGTTTAATCCTCACCTCCATCTCTGTGTTTTGTCCATAGGGAAATTGAGACACGGTGAACATGAAATGGTTTGTCCAGGGTCACGAGGAAACCTCAGGCAGAGCTAGGAGAGAAACTTGCGTCTCTGGGTTCCCAGCGTGGCACCCTTGGCCCAAGTCCTCACTGCTCCTCTGAGCATGCCTGGCTCTGACCCAGACCCATCCCCGTGCACACTCTGCTCGGTGTATGTTGTCTAACTGCCTCTCTTCTGTCCTTTTCCTGCTCCCCTGTCCTTGGGAAGCCATGCTGCGCTGTTTTCACCGCTTTGCCACCCTGAGGCGGTTAACGCACCGCAAACAGGTAAATTAACCTCTGTCCCTCTCTTTGTGCCACCTGTTCCGTTGTTGTTCCTTCCCTGGGCTCTAACTTTCCTCTCCCTGCGTGACATGCACTTTGGTGACAGCTCCCCACATAGGCTCTGCCAAGAAGACAGTTCCCTTCAGCTTTGCAGACAGGAACAGCTGTGACAGGGCACCAGAGTAAAACATAGGGCCTGAGTCTAGTCTTTTTTTGTTGTTGTTCTTCTTTTTTGCCTTGCTGAAAAACAGGAAAAAAAAAAACCTTCAAAAACTTGTCTAGCTAAACCTGTGCAAGACCTGCACCTGGTGATGCAGTTTGTGCCCATAGCAACCAGAACCCAATCCAGAGCAGTAGGTATCGACAAGGCATATTTGGGGGGCCCCCTGGCCCTTCCTGGAAGTGTCAGTCCAAAGCAAGATCAGGTTTCGGCCCTGGAGGGCTTTGTCTATGCTGGAAAAGGGAAGATCCTGTTCTAACACACTTGGGCCCTATATTTAAACTTCCTGACCTCTGAGTATGACTGCACAAGCAAGGGATGCTGTGGGACAGAGGGACTGTAGTTCCTGCTCCTGGTTGCACATGTAGCACCTCTGAATGTGCTGTAGTCTGCAGCCTGATGGCTTAAACTGGCACCAGTTCCAGCTTAACTTGTTTTAATACCCTGGCCCATGAAAACATGGGTAGCTCAGGAGAAATTCCACAGGCAGTGGATGTGCCTTGCAGATTCAGGCAGGGACCTGATGGAAAGGCAGCATGGATGGGAGAGTGGCAGGACCACAAAAGCCACCCCAAAGCTTCTACTCTAGTATTTGGAGACAGCAGCTGTATAGACTGGATTTGGAGATTTCCTTTTTCCTAGGATAGCTCTAACCTACCTAATTGAGGCTTGTGACAACAACAATTGGTTGTGATTGAGACTATGCTTGTTCTGCTCTGAAAGCACAGCCTGTTATTCGTGACCATGTGTTGCTTAGCCACAAAATCACTCCTTTGTCAGTGTGGCTTAAGGGCCAGTGCAGCATCCCAGGCCCTGCTTTGCAGCTAGTACTGCCCCGGAGCTGGCAGCCTGGGCAATGCAGGGATGGAGGGCCGAGGGAGGTCCAAGCCAGCTACGGCAAGGTATTCTTTCCAGACGTGTTACTTGAGCAGACCATCTCTTTGTTTCAGCTTGTTCGAGAGTGGCATTAACTGGGGCCGGGTGATTGCACTGCTGGGCTTTGGCTATCGCATGGCCATCCACGTCTATCAGCAAGGCATAACAGGTTTCCTCCGCCGGATCGCCCGCTACGTCGCAGTTTTCATGCTCCAGAACCGCATTGCCCGGTGGATCGCTCAGCAGGGAGGATGGGTGAGTGAGCTGGGGCACAGGCTGCCCCAGGGAAATTCAGGGGTGAGGAGAGTCAGCTGGTGAAAAGTGCAGACCAAGGACTATGGTAATGCTGGGGATGGTGGGATTACACTGATGTGAGCAGAGGAGAAACCTGGCCTAGGCAGAGCGCAGGTGCATTTAATGGATTTTCTGGTAACTCTCTTTTTTCCTGTCAGGTGGCTGCACTCGATCTGGACAATGTTTACATGAAGTATATGCTGGCAGTGGTGGCCCTGGTCATGGTGGGGCATTTAGTGGTACGACGCTTCTTCAGGCCCTGACTGACGTGGGGACAGAGGCTGGGGGGTCCAGCTAAGCTCTCTCTCAAATCTCCGCTCTTCAATAACGATGTCTCCCAAGAGGGGGGGGATTCACAGAACCTCTGAGAGAGAGCAGCTTGGACCTGTGACCCTTCCACCACAGGGCCCAGGGTCTCTACCATTCACGGAGACACCACCAGGAGCTACGGAGAGAGGCAGCAAGGGGGGAAGTCTGACTTTGTCATCTGTTTTATGCCTCACTTAGCTGCTGAGGAAAGAGCATCTTTATGACACTCCTAGCATGTAGGAGTGTCAGGAGAACAGGTTCCTCCAGTGCAGAGACTGGAGGAATGAATGCGTTATGATAATGTTTGTGTGTATGTGTGTGTGTGCGTGTGTCTTGTCCACTCTGTGCTGTTCTTGAGAGCACTCCTTGGGGCAGGTGTAGAGCTGATACATTTGCTGATGGCTGTAGCCCAGGCCCTGCCTGCATTTGAAGAGGGTTTGCAGCTTTGGTTTCTGCAATTCTTGTTTGCAAGTCACCAGAGGGGCAAGCCAGCATCAGAAAACCTGTGAGGGGTTTACCTTTACCTTCGCTCTGCTCCTGAGCCCAAATACTTGAGCTTTCTCTTTTCCTCTTAACCAGCAACCCTGCCCCTTTTGAAAGAAACACGCTGACTACCTGTCGTCTGACAAATGATGGTAATATCTGGCAATGCTGGCAGGCAGGTGTTCCACAACCTGAACTTGAGACCTGCAGCTCTCCCATTGCTGACACAGGTACTGGGGCCACTGCCTGCTCCTCAGCCCTCCTGTGAGCTCAGAGGCTGCATGCAAGCAGGCCTAGGAAGCACCAGCAGGTTTCTAAACACTAAAAAGCTCTGGGGTGACTAACAGCCAGTGCAGGCAACACACCTTCCCTCCAGCAGACTGGTGTGCTGGCAAAAGAGCAGCCTGAGCAAGAACAGTTGGCCTCCCTTGCTCTCAGTGGCAGGCACTGGAATTACATCCAATCCCTCCATCAGCTCTGCCTTTAGCTGGGCTGGATGGTCCAGGCGTGCCCTGTTTAAGCTCAGGGCTGCAGTGTCTGAGCTGCACAGACAGCAGGGTGCAGCATGCGGCCCCTTCTGTGGATGGTTTCTTTGGCAAGTGACTTGACCTTGTCCTGGTCATGACTGATGCTTGAACATGACTTTTGGGGAGGGAGGGAAGCAGGCGCCCCTCTCTCATCCCAAATCTTTATGACTTTTGCAAAACAGGGGGAAGGTCCCAGTGTGAAACATGTGATTCAGCTCTGTCTATTCTTCTTACTCCAGGTGACTGTGTAAGGTTTGAAACTGTGACTAGCTCTGTCTAAGCCAAACTCACCCTATTCCTGCACCCCTGTGCTCCTAAAGCAGTTTAGCCAGCCAGGGGGACCTCCGAAGTAGGAAAGGAGCAGTGGCCCAATGCCTGGCCTCCTCTCCAAATGCAGACAGAGCACTTCTAACCTGGAACTGGGCAAATGGGACTAGTAGTAACATAACCCTAAACAGACTGAGCTCTCCTGCCTTTGGGGGCCTTGCCTGGTTTTTCTGCTGCAGAGTGGGCTGGATGACTGCAACTGACACTGCTCTATGACCATCTCCATGGCATGGGGATCACCAAGCCAGGGCAGAGCCAGTCCCACCTTGCCTGGTGACACCTGCTGCATGACTGCTGTAAGATCCCAAGGGCAAAGGTGG